CACTGCAAACTACCTTTCAGTTTGTGGTCTACAATGACCCCCAAATCCTTCTCCATTTCTGACTTCCCTAGCGGCATACCCATAATTGTATAACCCATTTGTTTATTTTTAATTCCAAAGTGCATTACTTTGCATTTATCGACATTAAACCTCATCTGCCACATTAATGCCCACTCCCCTATTTTATCCAGGTCCTCCTGTAATGTTATAATGTCTAAGTCCGTGTCTATTACCCTCCCAATTTTGGTGTTATCCGCAAACACGGAAATATCGCTGTTAACACCCTCCCCGATGTCATTAATAAATAAGTTGAACAATATGGGACCCAGCACAGAACCCTGAGGCACACCGCTCATTACACTAGCCCAGTCTGAAAAGGTGCCATTTACAGATACCCTCTGGACACGTTCCCGTAGCCAGTTCTCTATCCACGTACACACCACCTCATCTATGCCCATAGCCCTCAGCTTGTGTAGCAAGCGTTTGTGTGGTACCGTATCAAAAGCCTTTGAGAAATCCAGATATACCACATCTACCGGCCTCCCTCCATCCATATCTCTACTCACCCCCTCATAAAAAGTTAGCAAGTTAGTTAGGCAGGAACGGTCTTTCCTGAACCCATGCTGATTGTCATTAACTATCCCGTTTTCCTGAACAAATTCTACCAGATAATCCTTTATTATGCCCTCTAGCATTTTACAAACTACCGATGTTAGACTGACCGGCCTATAGTTCCCAGGTTGGCACCTAGCCCCCTTTTTGAATATTGGGATATATATTGGGTATATTACTCAATCGCCACAAACGATATAAATCCAACAAATGCCATTGCAAACTTGGTTATCACCTTGTGAAGTTAGCAGTGACATCATCACTGTGCAGAGGGAAGAGCTGTTGGAGGGACCTAGCAGGCCCCACCTACTGCAGAAAACTATAGGAAGGGGGCCACCACAAGTTACCCTGCACAAGGAAAGAGAGCAGCAGTGACTGATCTTTATTACAGGAAGCTTCACACTGGATTACTGCACAGATCTGGAAGAAATGCACAAAGCATACCAAGACTGAAGTAAGATTATGCATGGCTATTGTATTTAGACATTATTTGCTTACCTAGCATTTCAGGCTAGGGAACCCATTTAATTGATAGTAAATTTTTAAGATCCTCTTTTCATTATCTGCCCAACTAAGATGCTGATAACTCCTTGTTATAATCCTATAATGCTCTGTGTGTTATGGTATTGTAAACCCCTGTGTTTCTATATTGTATTTCCTCTACAGCTCCCCCAGTTTTTGAATCGGGCTCCAATGTTTCTGAGACCCTCAGCAGTGTCCCAGGGTCACAGGTTACATTGGAATGCCATGCCAGTGGCTCCTTGCCAATGCAGCTGGTGTGGATGAAGGATGGGAACCAGCTTTCCACATCCCGATTCCTCAGGATCTCCTCTGGAGGGCGAATCCTACGGTGAGGAACCAATTATTTTATGAATTTGTAGAATTCGTTTTTAACCTTTTGTGAAGCAGTAATGAGCAGCATGAATTTTATATATGTCGTCCACTGTTTATTAGTAGTTATGGGAGAAAATACTGTAAATATAAAAAGCAGGCTGTCATTTCAAAGAAGCTGGTAAAGGCATTGCATATAACAAATGGTGGGATCTAGAGATGTCCGAGCAGTGTATAAAGCAACAAATGCCAACACCGCACACCCCTAACCAACTACAACCTCTCACATGTTTCACCCATAGGCTTATTCATAGAGGTTAACCTAGGAACTTCCCTGCACCTGATCAATCTTAGATCTTAGCGATTTTGCAACTGCCTTTAAAGATGATTTATAAAACCTTGCTCATAGTAAACAACGAGAAACATGTGAGAGGTTGTAGTTGGTTAGGGGTGTGCGGTGCTGGCATTTGTTGCTTTATACACTTTTATTCACTGATATACTGAATTTGCTGTGAATTTCAATAAAGTCTGCAGTATTGGAATTCTCTGGATAGTGCGGTCTGTTCGTATACTATTGCAAAAGGCCCATCTTAATTATTTATCTTATAATCATGTGAGGAAATTCCAAACACATAAACTGTCAATTTAAAGCATTTTGGGGAAAAATAAATTGATTAAAATTTCTTATGTTTATATTTCTTTTGTTAAACCCTGCAAGTAATGATCTTTCTACAATGTAATATGATGTTACTATATTTCTCTGCAGGATATCTCATGTACAAGTAACAGATGCCGGCGTTTACACCTGTGTAGCATCGAGTCCTGCTGGAAGTGCAGAGAAAAGTTTCACCCTGCTGGTTGAGAGTATGTATAGTACCACATTGTTAACTGATAATAGATTTATAAGAAGGTACTAGTAGAGGATATGTGTATCATTGCGTAGAAACCCATTCCTCCATTCATGACTCATTAAAGTGAAAGTTTTATTCAGACATGGTCAGCTATATCGGCTCTTCCATATAGTACTACAAAGAGCCATAATAAATGTGACAACATTATTCTAATATCATTGGGTTGAAACAGAAGTTATTCCCCAGAAAAAGGACATCACACTGCTGCTGAATGGTATTTATGTTTAGCTCAGGCACTGGATTACTACAAACCATTTAGTCTAGAAATTATTGTAGCTGCTAGGTTTAAAATTAACCGCTGCACTACACACTGCCTGCCTATATCCATATTTTCTGCAGTCTGTCCCTTTACAATCCATTCTACATATATTTCCAACACTAGTTACATGTGTGTGTCATGTATGTTGCTACTCACCTATGACTTGTTTGTCTTCTACATGCCTGCTCTCAGGAGATAGAAGGTCAGTGAAATACTGAATTGCTTTGGAGATGTGATTGTGGTGCATGTTTTATAAAGAATGACTGAAAGACTTAATTAAAGGAGGACATATAAGTCAGCAGGAGGAGGGGCTTTTATAGAGAGGGTTAGGCCTTGTTTAACCCTTTTGGTTCCTGTCAGCTAGGGGTAATTGGATCTAAACCCATTTGTCAGCGCTGCCATGGAGTATAACCAGGAAAAGAAAATTACGGTAAGTATGATTAAATTTTCAGTTTTATTGTTAGCAAATCAGACAGAGGGTGTTATTGGACTCTATTAAACTCTTGTTATACTGTGACGTTAGTTTGGCATATCTGATTTATATATATATGATGATTTATCTATACCAGCTTTACCCGTGGAAAATTCTGAGAGCACAGAGGAAGTGACCGCCATCAAAGGCTCCTCGGTGACATTCACCTGTGAAGCTCATGGGTCTCCACTGCCCTCGCTTTCCTGGGAGAAAGATGGTGAACCTCTCAACTTACAGAGTAACCTTCTGCACAATGGTCTGGGGACCCGGCTATATCTTGAGTCTGTTCACGTTGGAGATTCCGGTCTTTACTCTTGCATCGCTCACAATGCTGCCAGGAGAGTCAGCAAACACTTCCGCCTGATTGTTTTAGGTATGTGGGCCAAGGGTGACTTGCATCTATAAGTTTCATGAATGACGTCTCCTATCTAGCAAATGTTTCCATATTTTGGCTCATTGCTATAGGCGACTAAAAACAAATTGGTCTATAGATTGCCATATAAACACATTATTCGATGCACTTAATTAACCTCTGAAATCAAAGACAATTTTAATGAACAACTGTTTAATTTGCTGATCCTTGAAGTGAACATGTACTTTGACCCCCTGCTAGTCAAAGTAACAGGTTTACAAAGTTGCTTTATCATTCAATAAGGGACAAAGAATTTAGTTATTCAGAGACAATTAAGTTATTCTGACTACTAAGGAGGATTTGTATACTGGCAAACCAAAAATTTGTTGGCCAGCTAGTTATAGTTCCTCCCACTCTCAGTATGCTTCAGTTTGTTGCTGGTGTCCTAGATGAATGGATGTTTTTTCTACGCCATTGTGCTGCCCTATAACTAAACGCATATGCTTACAGCAGAGAGAGCAGAGTGATGGCCTCATTAGTGCATTGGTGCTCCTTTACAGGCTGGGTTGGGTCCTGGACCAGGCTGCATTTTTCAACAGCAATGAAATCTGCAGGGAGGTTCAGAACCTGACTGTTAGGGATGTCTCACTCACAAAACTGTCTGAAGGAAATTACAAATCCTTTGGCAGGTAAGATGGAACAAAAATAGATATATTTTGTTTAGTACATAGCTATTTACCTGGAACTCATCTTTATGGTTAAGTAGTCTTTCTGGCATTAGCACAGTTGTAATTCCTGTTGGATAGTTTGATGCCTATTGATCACTATTGGTTGCTGATGCTTAGACAATCCTGTTTGGTTTATATTTATATTGTATGTCCTAGAACCACCAAGAATTGAGGGACCTGCCATCTCCACTGAGGTCTCAGTTGCTGTGGATGAGTTGCTGGAGTTGGTGTGCAATGCAGCAGGTATACCTCCCCCTCAAGTCACATGGGAGAAGGATGGACAACCTTTATCAAGTCCGGATATACTTACAAGGAATGGCACTGTTCTCAGGATAGAAAGGTTGAAGGTATGATTGCTAGTATGTCAAAGGTTCCATCTCTTTTACCTCTCAATGTCATATTTTGGCAATTGACCTACCTACTGTATATATATTTTACATACTGTCAGCTAAAAATATACATTTTTCTGAAAGTTCAAGTGTGTATATAGCCAAAACGTTTTTTAGATAGATTAGGGAAGGGAAAAGCCCCCATCAGTTATTTTTTGCTATGTGTTTCCCTTTGGGGGTATTTCCATCACTTCTGTCCTGGGGATGCAACAGGAAGTAAAAATATCTCCAATTTAAAGGGAATTATTTTCTTCGACAGCCATCACCTAGACAGCCATCACCAGAAATGTGTACCCATTAAAATATTTACCCCTCACCTCCTTTTCCAGTGGCAACTGTAAAATTTTGGATTTCCCATCATTTTCTGTATCAGGGACAATGGTCACTAGGACCAGTAGAGTGGGTGAATAACCCCATCAGAGAAACAGAGAGCAATAAACATTTAACAGGCTTTCCAATGTTATGTCAACTGAGGCCCATGCCTACCTAATGCCAGACAAAAGATTATAGCCATTCAGTATTTGAAAATAGAGTAATTATTGCTACTTATAACATTTAATGACAGAGAAGGATACAACGCAACAAGTTCACTTACCTCACTAACTCCCTGACAGCACAAACCCCCCTCCCCTTCTCTCCCTCACCGCTCTGTTCATCTGCCAAGAGTGAACAGAGGAAGCAATGTGTAAGCTCCAAGTCACTTCTCTGAGCTTACAGAGGGCCCTCTGCCTGCCCCCATGGGATGGTCTAAGTAGGAAATCACCAGCACTGTTACATGGTAGGAAGGAGAGTGAGTTAAATGCTCCCCCTAACCAGAAGCTAGGTATTTCTCGTCACTCCCTTTATATTTACCGTTAACATTGTTGTGAATTTTGGTAAAGCCGTAATAAGATACATTATTTGTGGACACCTGGCCACCAACACCTACATGAGTTTGATAGACATTCCATTCTAAAAACATGGGGATTAACATATAGTTAATGCCTCTATAGTCTCCACTCTTCTTGGAAAGCTTAACACAAGATTTTTGAGTGTGACTGTGGACATTTGTGCCCATTCATCCAAAAGAGCATTTTTAAAGTCGGGTACTACTAATGTTGGACACGAAAACTTGGCTTGCAACCGGAGTTCAATACTGTACAGTTGAGGTCAGGACTCCGTGCAGATCACTTGAGTTACCCTACATCTAGCTCCTCAAACCATGTCTTTATGGAGCTGGCTTTGTACACAGGGGCAAAATCATTCTGGAACAGAACAGGGCCTTCCCCAAACTGTTCAACAAGGTTGGAAGCACATAATTGTCTATAATGTCCATGTATGCTGTAGCATGGGATCCTTCACAGGAAACATTTGAACTTATTGACTTGGATGAATGGCCACATTCTTTTGGCCTAATACTGTACCATAAATGAGCTCTCGTTATTCTCACTACACAGAGCTACTAAAAACTGATTCCTGCTTGGTTGCTACACCAGTCTCTGCATTTCACACACTTGAATTATTTAGCAAGACCACAAGAACGTTGATAATTTTCTGAGTACAGTAACTCACAGCAACCATTGGGCTTCAAGAGAGATCCTATACAATGTAATTTGTTGCAAGGGGTTACTACAGGTCTCCCTTTACCTTATTAAATAAGTATTTCACTGTATTACATTGTGTTTGCTTAGACTTCTTGCTGTGTTTACTTTTGAAACAGGCTGAAGATGCGGGAATCTACGTGTGTCTGGCAAGCAGTCCAGCGGGAAGAGACTCCAGGGCCACCTGGGTGCGGATGAAAGGTGCGGAGTTAAATAGGATAGCAAAAGGCATATATAAAAGCTGACAGTTGTGAATACTTAGAACACCATAGAGTTCAGCGAGTACTTTCTTTGAATGCAGCAGTAATTTCCTTAATTGGACACTACCGTCAAAATAACAAGAAATAAATGAAACATGAAAAAATATGCATGTGCCGATATATATCAGTGTTTAGACAAAAATCAAACAGTAGTACCAATTTGTATTTGTTCTTTTTTAGTTCCTCCCAGTGTGATTGGATCTAGTGAACCTCGTTCAGTATCTGTCTCCATTGGAGGACAGATGGTTCTAGAATGCAGAGTGGAAGGAGATCCAGCTCCAACTATTCAGTGGTTCAGAGAAGAAACACACCTCCAGGTACGTATAACCCTGAAGCCCACATTTGACATTTTTAAGGCAGCAAAAGAAAAATCATCAACATCATTAAATTATGCTTGTACAAACTCTTTAACTCCATTTTTTAATGTTGGAGAGAAAGTATTAGAACTCCTTTTAGTTCTTATATCGATTTACTTCCTGTGTGGTGGACCAGACAGGAAGTTAGGGAAATCACTAAAAATGGGATGCAAAGAGCAGTATTAGCACTTGTTTTAATAGAGCATGGAGAAAACTTTTATCAATGTTATATTGCTGTCTGCCTCCCTATTGGCATAGGTATGCTATCTCATGGCCTAAGGGACGGAGCTAGTACAAAAGGGCTATTGTTGTCATTTATGATGTCTAAATACAGCCCTGGATAAAATATCAGTACCCGTCCAGAAGTCCACATCTGTGTCATAATCGACATTTTAGAAAACAACAGCCAGGAGCCCAACTGAGTGACCCATGCCATGTGACTTCTCCCAACTCAGTCGCTCACCTCAACTAAGTAGTGCATTCTTTGTGAACAATTCTAACTGCTTGTCATGTGACGAATCTCAACTGAGTGATGCACCAATGTGTTTTCAACATATCGACATTAAGCAACTAAGAAGTGGAGGTAGGTGAGGAGCGCCATGTGAAAGTCTTGAAAACTCCAGCTGGTTGGAACACCATTATTATATTAGGACACAGTCTGCAGTGCCCACAGCCAACAGATCTGACTCTACCAAAGCCCTGAAGAAGATGGAGCCCCAATCTCCCAAAAGGCATTGGCTAGGTTTTGTCATGTGATCTCTGTTCTCCAAGCGGCTGGAGTTTCTATGAATTTCTGTTTATGCATGTTGCTCCTCACTTACGTACAATCCTTACATGTTTGTATCCACCAAAGGTTGAGCAGACACAGGCCTACCCAGTACTGACAAGGGCTAGTGCTAACTCACACGTACAAAGGTACTATATATGTCTGTTATGATGAACTTTTTGTCAAACTATAAAATGTATAGTAAAAATAGTATAATCCTGTGACATAGATTAGCTGGGGAAACTGGAAACCTTGTTAACCTAATATTCAATAGAAATAAAGCACATCATTTGACATTGTTCTTATTAATTTTTTTTATTTTCATTTTTTACAGACGGACAGGAGAATCCAAGTTTTGTCCAAAGGCCGATACATGCAGATCCACAGCCTGCAGGCATCAGATAGTGGGGAATACACCTGCATAGCCACCAATCCAATTGGCCAAACCAGCCTGACATTTATTGTAGAGATACAAAGTAAGTAGACAGGAAATGTTGCTTCTTACTGACTCATATTGTTTCCAGGTGTCTTATGATCACATGACTCCCTGTATTACAGTTGCACCTTCAATTATGCCTGGACCATCAGTAGTCAGTGCACCTGTTAATGAAACTGCGGTTTTGCCTTGTTGGGCGGAAGGACTTCCAAAACCGACCACAACATGGAGAAAAGATGGCACTCAGCTCTCCGTGGAAATGTCCAGGTATTGTTTTTATTCTAGTGTGTCTATTTGTTTTCCTTTTAAATTGAAAATAAATTCAGCATTTCATGGGCTTTCATTTCTTTCAGGCTAGAGTTCCTCGACGATGGATCACTACGCATCCCACAAGTGCTCCTGCAGGACTCTGGGTACTACCTCTGTACAGTCACAAACTCAGCAGGAATGGCTCGACGTGGCGTGGAGCTAAGGGCTTTTGGTAAGCACTGATATTTATCTGTGTATAACAGACATGAAGTGTCTTCAAACTATAGTTTAGCCAGCCCTAACCTTTTTTTGGATAGAAAGAGAGAACCTCTGTTAGGTATTTATTTCTGTCTGTATTCCCCCCACTTCCTATAGCAGTGACTACAAAAGCAAGTTTAGGGAATCTCTCTCTAGTAGGGCCCCAGAAAGCAATAAAAACTTCACAGGGGTTTTTGACCATGAGTTTTATATACCATGAGTATAAATATATAAAAAACATTTCTTTCTGAAAATTGTCTGCGTGTTTTGTGTGCTGTACAATCTTATTTTTAGTTGTCATTTTTATTTTTTATTTTTACCAAAATGCAAGTTACAGCAGTCTAAAAGAATACAGTAGAAAATAAAATAACCATCGCAATATTGCATGAGGCACTTCGATAGTAACAATCTGACTAAAATCTTTGGTGATAGTAAAATGATTACAGTAAGAACTGTAGGAGTTCCATAGAGCTGTTGTGTTAAGCAGAGCAGTCAGAGCTTTAACCAAGAAAGGTAGCGATCAAAGAGAACAAAGAAACAAAGTAAGATTTTTCAAACCAGCGATCTGCCATAGGCGTATTACATTGGGTTCTACAATGAGCTTGTACCTGAAACGTTGAAAGCAATAGGGGAATCATAGACTGATTGGCCCCAGGGATGTCCAGATTTGTAAAAATGTATCTGTTTTCCCCCAAAGTCTAGCGGTTTTCCAGTCGTCTAACCTCCATAATATTATCTGAGATGGAATTGTTTCTCTTCTCCATCTTTTTGTCCCCTGGCTGCTGTGACGTAATAACGTCTTGGAATTTTTAGAAATATCAGGAAATGGGAGGCCGAGGAGATCGTGCAGCAGGTTCAGAGAGCACTGCATACCCAAAACCTGATGTAATAGATTGGCAACCATTTTCTATTAGTCTTTAATCAGTTGGCATTGCCAGAAAATATGATCATGTGCCTCGGAACTTCCCACATCGCCAGCATTACTTGGGGATAGAGAGATTTTAGGAATGTAGCACATGCAGGGATTTGTACCAGAACATAATCCTGTATAGCGTTGTACAATCTTACACATCCAAATGTTGTTTGGTGATTGAAAAAATATATATCTTGTAATGAGAGGAAATGGACAATTCTTTCTTTAGTTTTTTTGTACCCATGTTTCAGCGGTCTTCATACATGCTACATATGCAGCTATCTTGTTTTGTGTTGCCGGTATAAAATGGTGGCCCTTTTGGCATTGGCTTTGTATCTTTAACAGTTAACGGTGGCTTCTCAGAGTGGCAGGACTGGGGTCCGTGTACCAGAACATGTGGCCAGGGAGTGCAGGAGAGGATCCGGTTATGTAATAACCCCCCTCCTGCAAACGGGGGAAGACCATGCATGGGCAGGGACGTGGATGTGAGGGCATGCAGCTTATTACCCTGCCCAGGTAACAATTTTACATGCTGAAACCATTTAGCCGTGGAAAAAGTTGCTAATGTGATTACTGATTCCTTTTGCATTCTGCTTCTTCAGTGGATGGAGGATGGACAGGCTGGAGCAGCTGGTCACAGTGTTCAGCAACCTGTGGTGAAGGGAGCCGCCAACGCACTCGTTCCTGTTTCTCTCCTCCTCCACAAAATGGCGGCAGAGCCTGTGTTGGGAAGGATACAGAGACAGAGTTGTGTCAGCTACCTCAGTGTCGAGGTAAGTTCTACATAGGAAAAAACATTATATATGGAAAAGCATGTGCTTAATGACCTTCAGACTGGGCAATTCTGGTGAAGGGATGATCATACTTTCAATCTTTAGCACTCTGTGGGGAATTTACTATGACTGGAGCAGACAAAATCTGGAGCATCTGTGCATGGCAACCAATCAGCTTCTAGCTTTCATTTTCAAAAATTAACTGAACAGAAGCTGATTGGTAACGATGCACAGCTGCTCCACATTCTCTCTGCTCGAGTATTAGCAAATTCCGCCTCTGTCTTCATCTGATGGACATTTTAAACACCAATTTCAGCAAACAAAACTTGGTTTTACTTTTGGATAGGCTTTGCAAGATTAGATACTTATGTTGGAGTTTGAGTGCAGTCCTTGATCCAGTTGGGCAGATTTTATACCAATTTGTTTCCCTGTGACTCTAGTATGAGAAATTTGGGGATATAGGGTGTTACTGGGATAGGAAGCTATAAACAGTAATAAATACTTAGTAGAAAATGTTTTTTACACAGTGCTATATATCTACAGCTCATAGTATATGTATATAGTATACAAAGATTTTAACAAAATTGCAACATAATTTAAAAATGATTAAATAAAAGGAAGATTAAAAAAATATATATATAAGAAAAAAGAGAAAAAACGAAAAAAAACCCCCAGTGTTAGTGTTTATGTTCTTTATACATAGACTGTGAGATGTAGGTTATATATTTTATATACTTATTTCTACATATCATATTTTGTATTTATCATATTTTATATAATACATCGTGAATGAATTGTTATGTTGTAGTGCTATAGCTTGGTTTCATGCGTGATTCCACCTCCGGTCTACTCAGGATCCCTATATGAGTAGACCTCTAGTGATGGGATTCCAGAATAAATATTGAGACTTGCTAATTAGAGTCACTATACACTGAGTGGCCAGATTATTATGACCACCTGACGTTTGTAGGCAAATTAGCTATAATTTTGCGCTGAAGTTGCTAGAGGGCCAGACCATTATAAATAGGGAAGCAGGTTATTTACCACGACAGTAGAAGGGATTTTTTTCTGAAGATATGGGTAAACAACGCGATTTAACAGCCTTTGAACGTGGGATGATTGTTGGCGCTCGGAGCCATGGAGCGAGTATCAGCAAAACAGCAGGATTTGTTAAATGTTCAAGAGCAGCTGTTGTTAAAGCGTTTAAAGACTGGACTATCAGCCGAAAATCTGGGTCTGAATGTGCGAATTGTGGCCGTCGGCGACTAGTTAATGTTAGGGCAGAACGGAGAGTGGTAAGACTGGTACAAGACAACAGTGCAGTGTCAGATTCCTTGCATCACCTTTCAACATGCCGTGGAGTCACGAGGCGGCCCAACGAAGTCATCTCGTGGAGTTATCTCGTGGCCCAACAAAGTACTGATGGGGTGGTCATAATAATCTGGCCACTCAGTGTATAGCGCTGTGTAAAACACATTTTATACCATTTAAAAGCTATTACGCTTTGAGCATAGCAGCTTTATATTGTGCCCAATTATAGAAGTCCTGAGCGCAGAATATTATTTGATTAGTAATAAATACTTGACAGTTGAGCTTGTTATGGCCATGCATTTACCGATCCAATCATTACAATCATCGTATCATTATATTAATTGACTCTAGCAATTATGAATCAATTTTCGCTGATATATATGAGATTAAATGGAAGATGACATTTGGAAAATTCCTGTAAACTGGAGTTTGAAGCAGTCGATTTGATTTTGAGAATATTGTTTGCTATTTTTATTAAAGAAAGACTGTGAAAGTGTTCAGATTGATGTAGGTGAACTTTTTGTTAGAAAAAAATTTCAATTAGAAATGGATCAAGTGCATGAGAAATCAATGTGTGTGTTATTGAACTCATAAAGGTTTATATTTAAATGTAGATGGTAAATACATACTTGAATGTTTGTACTATTATCATCAGGGCTTCATGGCATACATTTCATAGTGTACAATAATATTTCTTTGTCACAGCTGTTGCCACCCGTGTACGTGCCAGCCTGATTGGCATTATCAATGATCAGGATTTTGGACTGTCTTCACTCAGTGCCAATATGACGGAAAACAGCCATTCCGGAACGACCATGATCACCAGCACCATTGAAAACATCCCCCCTTCTATAGGTACGTGCAGACCCCAATGTATTTTTTTTAAAAGCATTAGACTCTTGCAGTACTTCTAAAGCAAAGCTCAAGGAGAGGGAGCAGCACCACAAGGAAGAGAAAGCAGAGTGACAGAGAGATGACCTCATTCACTGTCTCCTTCACTCTCCAGTGACAGTATGACCTGCAAGTGTTATTTAACTGCAGCAGAAAAAAAACAGGTCTCCTGCCCTGCCATTTAGAGTTGTGCTGTGTGGCAAAGCTGTGTATATCTTAGGACTGGATTGGCAGGTAAAACAGCTCTCTCATATGTATTTTATCTCTGTATTTAACTGTTTGCCTGGAATTCAGCTTTAATATAAACTCTACATGTGATGTTTTCTCCATGTTAATTATAGATGTAAGGGTCAATTCAGTAGTCTGTAACAATTGATATTTTCCATAATGACCATTACTGACAGCCAATGAGAGCTGAAAATAACAGTCCTAGGGCTGAAAATGACAATTATGGCAAATCACTCATGCATTATAGGTTTGTGAATTGAGCCAACTATGTGTCTTGCTTCCCCTGTCAGGTCCATTGATGAGAGTGCTGGTGTCTATGATTGCCCCCCTTTACTGGTCTGGAGCGTTCCCCCACGATGGCACTGCCAATGGTTTCTCCCTGACTAAAGGTGTCTTCCGCAAGGAGTCTCAGGTGGAGTTTGCAACAGGTGAGCCACCGCAAAACCATTAGGTACCAAACAGTGGCGTAACCAGAGTTATGGGCGCCCGGGGCAGAACATTTTTTTTCGCCCCCCCCCATATTATATAAACATCCCCTAGAATTGTACCCCCCACCCCCACACATATATATCAGCTAAGGAACTACAAGTCCGAACATGCCATCATTGTCCCTGTACACCCCCCCACACACACATATCACCCAGGGAATGGCAATATCTGGTTGTTGTACAGGGGCAATGAGGGCATGCTGGGACTTGTAGTTCCCTAGCTGATATCTTATGAAGCTGTATTCCACCTGAAAGTACTACAATTACATTATAGAACTAAGAATACAACATAAAATAAAACTTTTTTTTTCTAATACTCACCTGATTCCTGGATCCAACAAGTGCAGCCTCCCGTCTCCCACGCTGTTAGAAGTTGCATACAGTGTGTGCTGATTATTATTACTTAAACTGGCGCGCGCAGTGTGCAGCTTCTGAGAAGATAGCGGGGAAGGCGGCTGCACATTTTGCATCGCTCCCGCTACGCTAATAGCGTATCTTCTCA